TTCATGTTAACTCATCAGTGTGACTAACTTTGCATTTAAGCTGTGCAGACTCTGCACTTCACCTTATATGATTACAGACAAAAAGCCTTCACACAGGCAACTCCTGGAGAACAATTATTGTACCATAATTTGCCCTGAAAATACTTGGCGCTCAGCACTGTAGCTCTGTAGCAATCATCTAGGGAAGAGTCTTTTCTTCTTCTAGGATAGTCAGAATTTCTTCCTTTGGTAACAAATTTTTTTTGCCACACAAAAATATATGGCCATTCAGTAAAACGATCTACTTTAATGGATGGTAAAGAAAAGCTTCTTCCTATTCTCAGGTGGTTACACTGTACTTATATATAGCAATTCTGGGAGCTGACATGGAAATCTATACTGCTAGGGAGTCAAAACCTTGTTCATCTGCTCTTAATGAAGGAAGGGCTTCCTTGGGTTACTCTTTTGAAAGATAGAGCCAAAGTAAGCACAGTTAAAAATGGAATAAAGCATTTGTCTTAGACAGGACTCAGGCATACAAAGTCACAGAGAGGAGTGAGAAATACATTGTTTTCTCAGAGCTAGAGATGCTTTTCTCGTTGTTTTTAACAGTGAGGAAAATCAAATACTGGGGCAGTCTAGAGGGGCTGCAGATTCTCCTCGTATATAGTCAAAACCAAACTGAAGAATACTCTGAGGTCTGAGCAGGGGACATCGGCCCTGCTCTGAGCAGAGGGCTGGAAAAGGTGACTTCCAGAGGTCTCTCCCCGCATAAATTATGCCATGAGGCTGTGATTTGTAACGGGAGTGGCTCTTCCATTAGAGATCACTATGTGTAAGCAACAGCGAATGACACCAGAGCAGAAAAATGCACACAGCAATGGCACAGAGAAAATGTGTGAATTACAGTTCCCTTTGGCTCAGTAGCTGAAAGGTGAGATCCATGTGGCACTAGGACAAGTCTGTGATGGAAGAGGGGACACACGGCCCATTTGTCTCTCAAGGTTCCCAGGTAACACAGCCCAGAAGTACAGCCCAGAAAGGGGAAAAGTGGGGTTGGCAGAAGAGAGGAGAGTCTCGGGAACAGACAAGAGAGTAGGACAGGAAGGAAGAAGTATTCTTTTTGAAAGAAGATACTCTAAGGGTACCATCAAGGCTTCAGATTATGTAGTTTGTGGCACTCTCTGCCTAAAATGACTTCACAAAAAAGACCCTCAGCAGATGGAAAAGCAATCCTGGTTTTCTGTGGTGACTACCAGAGGCACAAATGAATGCATTCTTAATTAACTTAACTTTCAATTTCTTTTGTTTATGGGCTTATAACACAGGTTAACCAGTTACTTCAAAGCCAGGAGGCTTTGTGACCAACCGGTTATCACTTGCTAAGGATCAGGGATCAGAATTCATCGACAGCCAAAATAAACCTTTTTAAAAGTCCAAAAGATTGGGCGATAGAAAGGATGTTAGGCATTACATAAATCCTAGGCTGAAGGGCTTAGGAAGATGTTTGCTGAAACATTATTTTTAAAGATATTTAAAATAAAATGAATGCTCATTTTTAGACTTTATTGTCTTTGATTAAAACTCCCACAAGAAGATTTCTAAAGTTCTTTTGTGTTTTGAAATGTTTGTGTTGTGGCAGCATGCTCTTTGTTATTATTTAGACATCATTATCTTTGTTACTGATGTCAGGAATTGTACTAAACAGGCTGCATTTATTTTTAGTTATACTTTAACATTCTGGATTGAACATTTTTCCAGATGCTTGATTTCACAATTGACAATCCTTGAAAACGTGTTGTTCATGTGAGATTGCTTACATGAAAGAAGTTCTGAGGTTTGATCAGTTCCACAACTGATCAGATGGTGGAGGAAGAAAAACACATTAAAAAAACCAATAGGTTCATATAGGAGACCTTGCAGTATGGCAGTGGCTAGGAGACGGGAGCAAGAAGGATTCTGTCATGTGTAGCACAGAAATTACTCTATGTTTACATTTTGCTTGTTCCTCTTTAATAAAACAAGCTGCCCCAAAGCCATGTACAAAGGATGTATCCCTACCTTCTTTCTTCTCCTTCACTGTAACAGTAGTTTAGGGACTCCTCCTCGCCTGCAGTTGCTCTAATCTTGTGTTTGTATTGCTGGTACAAATGCTGTGTCCCATAACTTCAACCAGTGAAATAATATGGATTGCAAACGTCTCCCATGCCTCAGTCCTTTTTCTTTTTCTCATTTTTTTCCCTTTCATTGAATACTTTTAATTTGTATTTTTTCAGTGACATATAATACAGAACAGTCTTCTACAGCAGCAAACCTGAGGGGAGGTGAGGCACTTTATACAAAATGCAGCGAAAACATTACACAGGCTTCTAACCTTTGGTGGGAAAAGTTTTGAAACTGTACTTGTTAGGCGTCCTATACCTACACCAGTACTGACAATATACTAATTTCTCAGAGGGTATAACTAGTCAAGGTGACTGAACACCATGACAACATAGGCTCAATTTCTCCATTGTGAATTTTCCACTGATGTAGTTAAACTGTTGACTTACAGGAGGAGTTGCAGAAACAGTGCATAAGATGTGTGGCAAATGGATGAGTGTTAATCTATAAAGAAGCAGAGTAAGTCTGCACCAAGAAAGTAAGCATGGCAGCCATACACAGGGGATTCCTATACTCATGTTTGCACAAAAGCAGCAGTTAGACATGAAACGTGTTCTTGCCTTCCTTCTCCAACATCACAGATAGACATCAGCTGCGAGTCCTCTGTGCTCCCATAAGCTAGTGTAGAAGGGCAAACAGTGAGTGCAGGACCTTGCCTGGAGCTGGGATGCTTTTTAGGAAACACAGATTTCTGTTTTGCTTCTCTGCACAAAAAGCAGATAAAACTTGGAAGAGCTGGTGAGGAATTAACATACGAGAGGGCAGGCAAGGAGGTTGTTGAGTGAGAAAGCATGGGACATCCCAAGAGATCCTTCTCTCCCTTCCGTAGTGTTTGCACAACTCCTGGTGAGGTATTTGTAAGTTCTTGCACATTTTTTTGCCTACTAGTCAGAGGCAGGGAAGGGTGTGTTGAGGAGAAAGGGAAGTCAGGGGTGTTTTGCTAAAGCTGTCTGTTCCTCTTGCTTTTCCACTTCCTCCTCGTCCTCCTGGTATCAGCAGCTGGGGGCATGCTGAGGGGGAAGCCAGACCAGCGGATAATCTCCTGCCCAACAAAAGCATATACAGAGAGGAAACTGAAGCGACTTCCTCCTTGAGAAAGTTGTTTCCTCCCTCTCTTCCCACCCAATCTCCCCTGCCCCTAGTTCAGGCTCCCTCTCTTCTCCTCTCCCTGGGTGCCAGGACCCTGTGACAGCTGCTGCTAAAGATGGTTGCCCCCACACTCTCAGGTTTGCACTGGCTTCTGCCAGCCCTTCTTGAAAGGCTGAGCCCCAGCAGGGAAGCACAGAGCAAGTCAGAGCCCCCTGAGCTGACGGCAGGGGAAGGCAGAGCACAGGCATGGCCAGGGCTGAAGGGGGAGAGGGGCTGGGGGAGCACAACATCATGAGAGCATGCAAAAGGCTGACCACCCTCTTCAGCTGCCAGCACTCCTTTCCTCACACAAACCGCTCATACAGCCTTGCTCCTCCATCACCCTAATCTCTATAGATTTCACCTTATATGCAGCTTCTAGCAACTCCACAGCCAGCCAGCTGACTTGTTTGCTTGCCCGCCTGCCTACCCACTTCTTTGTTTTCTTGCTTGCCTTCCTGCCAGCCTGGCAGCCTGCTTGCTTACTTGCTTCCTTGCCTGTGAGCTAGCCTGTTTGCCTGCTTGCTTGCCTGCCTGCCAGCCTGCTTGCTTGCTTTCCAGCCAGCCTGCTTGCCTGTCAGCCTGCCTCCTTGCTTGCCTACCAGCCTACTTGTTTTCTTGCTTGCCTGCCAGCCACCCTAGTTGCCTGCTTGCTTGCTTGCTTCCTTGCCAGCCAGCCAGCCCACTTGCTTGTCTGCCTGCTTGATTTCTTGCCTGCCTGCCACATCCCCCTTGTCCTCAGGCCAGAAGTTGGTCACTGCAAAACTCAGCCATCACAGCCACATGCACATCACCTGCAATTTAGCTCTTCACATTATCTAATCAAGCTACCACTGCCGATCAGCTGCGGCTCGCAATGAGGCAGGGACTGTGGGATGTCAGGTGCAATGGTGCTGTAGCAAGCTCTGCAAGTCCTCCCAGTGGGTGTGTCACAGGGCTGTCTCTATCTATGATGGCACTTGACCCCTATGGTGAACTCCAGTTTTCTGGTGGAGGGTTTAGCAAAGGCCTGGTGTTCCTCTTTGGTTTGTCCGCTGCCACGCTGCTTTCAGTTCCTTCTCAACTCCTGCTGCTGACCCCAGCCAGGCAGAACACAGGACCACTGACACTGGCCAAAACTGAGCAGCTTGCAGGGCAACAAAACCTAATTTAAAAGATGCTTGAGTGAGGTTTGCAGCAAAAGCGAAAGGGGAGAGCCTATGATATGACACGGGATAATGAGGGACAGCTGCTGGGCAGAGCTTTTTATTCAAAGAAGAAATGCTTGAGATTTGAGCCAACAGAGCATGTCTATGTTCAATTCATAAGAAATAAAGTATTTTGCCTTTTTGCTTGCAAGATAGTTTTGTATGGTGGGTGCTTTGCATCAGATTAGATTTCCAGGAGAGAGACTGTGCTCTGGAAAGAGCAATTTATTACGGTTCATAAAACCAAGGAGAAAACCAGGAGCTTAACATACACCTGTGATGCTCTGAAATACACTTTCCTTCATGACAGAAGTATATACTTCACGAAGCGTTGCTGGGGTAGGGAGACTGTCAGTGTTATTTGACTTCTTCCTTGAATTTGCCAGTTCTACCTTTTTCTAGTGTAGAAAAATACAAATGGTGGAAACATCCTTGTTCAGACAAGTATAAGTAATTGTCAATGGCTATGAGATTATAGTGATTGAATTATGACAATTTAAAGGAGCCACAGCATTGACTTGAGGATCTTTCAGGGAATCCTGCATGTTGGCTGTCCGCGAACGGTATCTGGAAAGCCCAGTTGTTCCTGTAAGCATGACAGTATGTGCAGACACGAGAGAATGTTGTTAATTCGCTCGTGACAGCATCAAACTTCTGTCAGAACTACTAAAACCAACTTTATATGGCAACCCCTTGGAAATGCAACAGCACATTTTCCAGGAAGTCCAGCCCTGCTTGCAAACACAAAGATAACATAAACTGATGCTACAAGAAACAGTTCTCATAGAATGCTGTAGCAATTCCAGGCAGAAGCTCCTGCCAGCATTCAGGGAACAGTAAGTATTTCTGGAAATTAAGTGTTTTACAAAGCATAACAGCGTTGCCACCACAGTGTCATCCACTTTTCCCCAGGACTCTTGCCTCTGGGGAGTGGCACAGCATTGCTCAACTGGACTACTAATGCTCTGCCTTGCCCTCTGATGAGGTTCACAGCCTTGAAATGTTATCCTCCAGGAACAGCATAAACCCAGGTAGGCTGTAACTCTCTTGGTACAAGTATGAACAGAGATTGTCGATGGAGAAACATGTCATTTCTGCTGCTGCTGCCACAGGAGACAAAGCGAGGAGGAGGCTGGAAAGGAAGCTTTAGTGAAAAAAACGTGCTAACATTGACTTTCTCTTGCTGAGCTCTCCACATATTTGCATCTTCTGTGTATTACAGATATACACAGCAACACTGTTCTGACTTAGGAAGGAGATTGTCAGATTTGCTTTAATGATATTAATACATCTGTCCAAAGGTGCTTTCCCATGTACATTTTTTCCCTAGATATATGTGGTTTAAGGATTACCTGTCCCAGCCAGACATTTATCTTTTGCTTCTTCCACCTTCACTCAACCCTCATTCTGTTATTCTGTTTCACCTGCACTGCATTCATGTAATAGACTAAGATCAGAAATAAGATCAGAATAAGATAAGAAATAATAACTACTTTTTATTATGTCACTTCAGTTCACACCACCTCCAACAATGGTACAGACAACTGAGAAGGTTACGAGATCCTAACTATGAGATTTTTTGTGAGCATTGGAAACCCACAGTTGTTCAGAGAGGAGTGCCCAATCTTTCAAACTATTTGAGACCACAGCACAACATCAGTACATGAAACATACGTTAAAAAGATGGACTAGCACTTATGTCAGAGAAACTCAGTTAGGCTTTTTTTCTCACCTTTTTTCTTTCCTCTATTTCTGAACAAATTTAATTCCTAAGCAGCCCCTTCTCCTGAAGGTACATGGAAACAAAGAGTTGAATAAATGCTCTGATAAAAAACAATACTTAAGTTTGCAGTCATAGAAGTGGCATATGACAACAATCCATTGCTATGGTGGGATTTAGATGCTGGTTTTGTCCTACACAGACTCTGGAATAGCATGTTTGTATGTGGGAAGGTATTTTCGTTATGGATATTCTTGTCTTGCTTGAATACTATCTCGTTATTTTGCTGCTGTTGCTTTGGTGGGTGGGGGGGGGGGGGGGGGAGAAAAAAAAAGGCAAAATGTCTATAAGCTGCTTTCAGGCTTGCAGGTCCTGTTCCTTAAAATATTAAGTCATTCTAGTTAATTCCCTCAAATCACTCACAAACATCCTTCACAGAAATAAATGGAAAAAAACAGAGAGGTTTTGGGAAGCTGTTGCACCTGCAAGTGTAAAATGAAGCATATGGTAGACATTGCAAATGGGCAAATTTTATGAAGCTCAAAGGCACCGAATTTTTCATCTGCAGTCTCATCCCCACGCAGAGCTCCAGCAACTTCACTGAGCTATATTTAGTAGAGAATTACACCTTTGTGGTTTGAGTTTACCTTCAGCACAAACACAGGTTTATAATTTCTTGAGAAGCTTATTTTCTCAATATTATTTTTCCTACCCTATATCATCCTTCAAAGTCTTTTATATTTTTTTGTGATGAACTCACAGAAGAGCAGAAGAAATGCATGATCACAGTTTTTCAAAAAAATATATCCACATAGCAAAAGCTTTGAAAAGTTGGCCAGCAGAATCTCTTGAGATCCTAGAGGCAAAGGCGGGAGAAAGTAAACACGTTAGCTGCCACCTGATGAGTAGGGTTTTATGCAGTTATTCTCAATGGTAGCAGAAGACTAGACTTGATGACCCAAGAGGCTGCTCCACTCTTGTCTTCACACTTGCAGTTACCACCAAAATTTGTTTTAGCCATTATTCTCTAAGGACTCAAGCTTGTATGCACCAACATATCTTCATAGGACTCCACACTATGGGATAAATGCAATACTTCTAGACATCACGTGGTGAATACTGCTGATGGCAGCGGGCAAATAGTCTGAACACATTTTAGTTCCCTTTCCCCCACCACTTCTTGCCTAATATCCTGAGGAGAGCAGTTTTCTGTACTGATCATGATAATGAAACCCGCATTCTTATGCAAACCATTGCTGAGAAGCAGAACTCTCTTGATAACTCCTGTTAGCAAACAGACCAGGCTGCTAAGGTGATACACCCGTGGATTGTCTCATTGAAGGAGCCAGTTTTTCTGCCTGTATAAAAATATTGGAGAGCTTTGGAGAATCCAGGTAAATTGCTGTACATGTTTGTCTCAGAAATAAATGTGCCAAGTTCCATGAGAAATAGAATCAGTAGAAGGTATTACATATAACTTTGCATGACTAGAAATTTTAATTGTAGATTTTACTTAGAATTACTTATGGGGCTGAAAAGATGCCAAGCTGATGAAATGGACTTTTGAAAATTTTTGTGTTCGGTTTCCTGAAATTTTTCTAAAAGCAGTCCTAATTTAAGTGAGTTTTGCCTTTAGAATAATAACAGAAATTGTATCACTTAAAAGCAATTATTTGTTTAAGAATTCCTTTTGCATTATGTGTGGCTGGTTGGTTTGTGAGTAGGTTAGTTTTTAATATACCATACCCTGGATTGAGATAGCAGTTTATGTATTACATTTGTAGTAGATCATGAAAAATATCTTCCTTTCCAGCAGTGAGTCAGAATGGCACTCAATGTCTTAAAACTGTACAAAATTTCCTTTAAAATCCTATGAATCTTGAAATTCTAGAAATAAGAGTAGGAATTTTTCAGTGGCAGGAACTTGACCTTTTCTTCCTTAAGACTTGTAGGTGTTACATTAGTTTTAGTGGAATAACCAGAGTCAGATCAAAGAAATTCATAAGGCAGTCACTGTATCCCCTATATATAAATAGGGTTCTGAGTGAAATTTTTATGTTTCATTTCTGGGCAGACTCGCTAGAAAATTTACATTATATTGAAAGCTGTTGATTAACATAAAAGAAAAATAATTTTAAAGGCCCAAATTAATAAGTTTCATAAAATTCTGTGCTTATATAAACCATGTTTAAAAAAAAAATAATCTGTTTCTCAAAGGGATATTAGTTAGTTTGGTTTTATTGGATAGAAGTTCTTGGTAGAAAATTGAAGCTGCCAGGCTTCTGTTGCTGAAGACTGAGTTGCTAATATTTGATAGTTTTTCTGATTTATCAAAAAGAAGCAAGAAAAGAAAAGTGAAACTTTGTGTTGAACTTGTCAGGACATAGGATAATGAGATGACCATTCATGGTCACATGCCTTGGCCTCGTGCATAGGCTGTGACAACAATAGTTTGGGACCAAGCTGGGATGTCATCTGGATGTTCTGGTCAAGCCCTATGCTTTCACTAGTTCTGGTCTCAAACTTATCTGGGGTGGATGAACTATATTGTCCTCTCATATTCCCACAATATGATGTAGTTGGTCTTACGACTGGGTAAAAGATGAGAAAAAGTGACAAGAGAGTGACAACAAAGGCATAGAGAAATGCATAATGGTAAAGATAGAGAATACAATGAGATCAGGCTCAATTTTAACAACCGCGTGTTGTCATGAGTGTGCTGGTTGGAAATGAGTTGTCTCGTCTGGAAATAACCAAGTTACACAATGATGATTCTGAAGTCTGTCTGGAAAAGTAGATAGTCAAGCAATAATTTATCACAAATTCAGAATGGTACTAGCATATTCTGCAATCAGTTATAATCCCTCATATCCATTAACTTCAGGAGAAGTTAAATTAGGCCTTTATAAAGTTGACAAATACTCTTTGGATCTGTATTCTATAACTTTCATATGTCATTTTCCTCACCTTTTCTGTCCATTTTGTTTTTCCTTATATCCTGTCCACAGATTAGAGCTCTGCTCCCTTGGTTATCAGCTTCTCTGATTATTTCACTGTTACAGAATTCATGAGTATACATACTTTTCCTCTTAAATGGATAGCTTTATGACATTTATTTCATTATTTCTAGCAATCTCATCAAGATCTGATTCTGTTAAAAGATGATGTTTTTAAAAGTCCTGTTAAAATCCCGTCACTTCAGAATAGAAAGGAAAAAGTTATAGATAAGCAAAAAGATGGATTTTTTTTATTTATTAATCAGTTCTGCATGTATTTTGAGGAGATGCACAATTCCTTGTACAGTCAGCAGTTACATATATTTCATGTGCTTAGTTAAGGATTATATGCATACACATCTGCTATTCACATAATTGATCCAAAGTTGCTGTGTGAAGACCGAGCAACAGTGGAAGAGGAAGTGATCTTTTAGCTTCATCAAGACTGGAAAGTAACTAATGAGAGCATGTTTATGTCAAAACATGCATGTTTTGATCAGGCTACTAGTTGAGACTGGAATATTCAAAATAAATTGAGCAAGAATACAGCTCGAACCTTTGTGTTTCTTGTGGTCTGATTACACTGTACTTCTGCACAGAAATGTACAGTTATACTGTAAATAATGGAGAACTGCACCTGTTTGCACTGCGGTGTAGTTAAGATTTAGTTGTGGAAGAATTATGTACAAGTTATCCTGGTTTGAACTAAACAGAACCAATTCTGTTCAGTGATTTTACTTTTCAGCTCAGTCTCTTACAAGACACTGCACTTTCTGTAGTTAACACTTGTGTTTTTGCAGACAGTGTCTGCAGAAAGGTTTTTGGTTACGCTTGCTTTTGCTCCTATAATAACCAAGGCCACTGTTAGATCTTGTGTAACACATTGCAGTTGCTGGGAAGTAAAAAGTTGCACACCCACGGAGTAATGGACTGGACGGGTGACCAGCAAGAGTATTTCATTTCATATACATTATATTCAGTATGAAGTTGAGGGATCACGGGGGTTAAGCACTTTTCTTCTTTTTGCTTCTTTTGCTCTTCTTCAGTGGCTGGTCTGAAGAGGACTGTGTTCATTCTTTTACCTTTGATCCCAATCTCGAGTTCCCAAATCCAGCTCCCTTTATCCAGTTCCCCTCTGCTGCTGAGCCTGGGGATTCGCCGGTGCCGCCTGCTCTGCAGCATCAGTGGGGATTGCTGTAGGAGGGCAACTGGGTTCAATATCTTGAATATACTTGTATACAGTTCATTATTTTCATTATTCCCTTATCAGTACTATTATTGTTTTATTAAAACAGGTTTAGTTTTCTTTCCCAATCCATAAGTCTCTCTGCCTCATTAACTTTCCCTTCCCATCTGAGGAAGGAGAGGCATTAGAGAGCATCTGTCAGTGTCTGTGGCTGGCCTAGCCCTAACCCTCAACACAAGTGTATCTTGGTATCTCTGTGCATCTTCATTGAAGGCAGTGGAAGGCTGGAAAAGCACTGCATATACAAATCCCCTCGATTAATCTATGGCATGGGAATTAAAACCTGAGTATTGTAGTAGATTTGAGCACACAGATTTGAATAACACAACCGTCTCGCATCAAACCGAATGTTACTGTGCACTTTATGTGCTGCTTCCAGTTCAGATCAGAAGTCGAAAACCCTAACAGAGAACAAACTTCAGAAAATAACTCAAGTACTTCTTGCGTGAGTTTCCTCTGTCCCAAAGGCGCTCTGCGTTTTAGAGAGGAAGAGTAGGGCGAACTTAATCTCACCTCAGAATAATCTCAAGATTCCATTTCATTATTTACAACCTATTGTATGTGCTAATAAATAGGTAACTGCTGTCACTTCTGGGAAGGAAAACACAGCAAATGCTGGGATTACTCTATGAGCAGGGCCATAAATAAAAGATTTTTCTCTTTTTCTTAGTTCCTCATCTATCTACTTGGCCAGTCAGAATTTAGAATTCAGAATTCAGAATTTAGAATATGGCTTCTAATTTATTGTAGCCTATGAAAGCAGGAACTGGTGATGTACATTAAAGAGAAATAGAGAAATTTCATGGAGTTTCTTACTCTCTTCTGATTTTTAGTGTTACCTTTACCATTTACTACTCACTGTGAGTAAAAGAGGGAGGTTACACTGTTGATTGTTAACACTTCCATATGCTGAGAAGCTTTTTACTCTTGAAGAACTTGTAAATCTGCATGACTAAGGCAAGGTTTGTTCACAGTACAGGGAAGAAACTCATTAAAAGAAATCCATTAACAGTCCTAACATGACATTAATGAATGGTTCAGTGTATTTGAAAGTATGTATGCATATAATTGATCTTCCTATTGCAAAGATGAAGAAAACTTCTCAGAAATCATTATCATAATAAGAATTTTTGTCAAATCTACATTTCCAGCTTCCAAAAGGTCTACATGCTGAATGTCTCTTGTCTGGAACAGTGGCATTAACATTTTCTTAAATTTGAAATGGAAAAGTAGCAGGAGAATCAATTTATTGCTATATCTTTCAAAATAAATGAGTTTCTGAGTTTCCCAAGCAGCTGATCAGATTATAATTTCTAAATTCTGAAGACTTTGAATGCTGAAGTAAAGTTATAGTACCTCTCATGGCTTAGATTTTGTTACAGGTTAAAAAAAAAATGCAGCATGCATTAGTACTGATCAAAAGAGATTAGAGACAAAAGGCTTACTTATTCTCTCTGCAATTAACTTTCTGTTTAAGCAAGTAAAATCAGTGCTTTGTGAGGTATTGTGGGAGCAATCTTGAATGATTAGTGATATATATACACACATCTCTGCAGTGTAATTTTGCGCGAGTGCATACGCCATCAACCAGCTGTAGATGGCTTAAACCTGATAATCTCCATAGTAAATTTGTACTTCCTCCCCTCCCTCTACATGCAAAAGAGGTAACAATATAGTGCTCTGAGCATAAGTTTTGTATATGTCTATCTTTTTTTTTTGATTGCTTTGTTAGTAACTTTGTAGTATAATACAAAGAATTTGGTAAGACAATTTCTTGATGATACTGAAAAGAGCAGGAAAGTTAACTTTAAGTTCAAGAAGTCACAGGTAAAATAATTGCAACATAACAGGCAATTCAAGTAATATGATACAATCAAATGGAACGCAAAAGGAGCAAAACCGCAATTTAGAAGCTCTTCTTAATGAATTTTAAAAAAAAAAAAATTTACCGAACACCTGCTGAA